ATGTACGGTGCTTATGCGGAGGGCAACTGTCCGTGCCGTTCGGTATGTTTGCTAAAATCTGACACGTTTGTGGAACACCTCAGTACGTCTGCATTTCGATAATGACTGCCGTAACTTGAGAGCAGGTTTCTGAGAAACTTTGTGATACTGGAACATTTTCTTATTATACAGAGTGTCCATTGAAAAACAGTCAGGGATGGCGTTAGGGACATATACGAATCTGTGATATGGTTATGGACCATCTGATTATGAGGTTCTGTGCCAGTAATAAGCCATGTGTGTTGGGATTTTTCGTAACGAAGGTTGGAATATTGTTGTTGCACTTGTTCAGCGCCATTTGTACAAGTTGGTGCTTGCTTTGACGTATACATACCAGTTACGGCATTTCTGAAGGCCGGGCACGCCCACTTACTACGCACGCGCTCTGGTTTTGAGTAATACGAACGTTGCGAACTTGTATAAGAATCTTCTAAGGAATGCCATGACTCAAAAAGGAGTTGTCTTGCCAACGATGGTATGATATATATATAAATCATTATTGTTCTGCCCAGAAATATGGCCTCAAAACGTTGAATGTGATGCTGTTGCGAAAATAGTTACAGGTAATCGACGTGCATAATAGATTAGAATGGTGAAAGTGTAGCGTTTGTTGAAAGGTGTTTTCATACAAATGAAAAGTCTTTCGGGTTTATTAATCGACACCCGTAGCCATGCAGTACTAAAAGTTGCTATGTGGTGCCACGTTCTACTAATTTGTGTGTTGTTTATTTATGGTAGATGTAAGTAGCAGCTGTTTCTTATGTTATATGCAGACTTTCCATTATATTCCTTTGCAGTGCCGGTGTAAGAGACTGTCGCAAGTCTTCTTCATAAATTGAACTCGGTAATTGAGAAATTGCTACGTTTATAGCGTCATAAATTGCAGACCGCGTGTTTACATACTGTATGTATTTATTCTGAACCTTGATCCTTTGTATTCATACGTTTCGAAGGCCGATTACCATTACTCACAATTTCCCATAATTCCAGGTTATTACACGACATGATTTTGATATCCACGGTATAATTCAAGAACGTAATCCCGTGGTAAAGAAGGGGTTACGGTATATTCAACATTCGACCGTCTGTTATTTGGTTTTGGAGACAAGTTAGACATTTTCAACCCAACAATGATTTGTCTCAAAGTTTTCCATCCTTTGATGAACTGCACGGGTAAGACAAAAAAAATTAAATGCGGTATCTTCAGAATTGTTCCTATGCGATTAATTCCTTGTATGGGGGACAAATCAAGTATTAGTACGTCACGTCTGCCGTTTGACAGCGAGAGTCATTGACGTGGAATCTTGCTATGCCAGTTATATTGACTCTGTTTCTTCCGTGTTTGTTTCGGTTGGCCCCGACCCCGGTACCTGTTCTATTCAGTTACGGAAAGAACTTAGCGTGCACTTCGGCCCAAGAAATGCATTATTTTCAGTTCTAGTTGTGTGGTACAAAACTAGGCGATGTTAATTGAGATGCAAGTTCCCACTTGCACGCTGAATATACAGCAGGTCGCTTATCAGACGAGTAAACATGAAGGTTCATGTTGTGTCCGACGCTCTGAATAATTTATTATATCTCATTAGTGAATCATTTACTGACATATCTTTCTTGGAAGGCATGACAGTGAGAAATTGTTGGAACTTAAAATGCCGTTATGAAAAACATTTTTTCGGAGTTCGTATTAATAGCGGATAGGCGAAGATTGTATGTGTTTAATGTTCAAAATATACATGTTAATTGTTCACACAGATGTGGCATGTTTTCGTATTGTATATTCTGTTAGAAGATCTTTCCGTTTCGCGAAGAATATGTAACAGTTTTGTTTAAACATCTTTAAAGTGATACTGTGTCATTGTTTCCCGTTCTTTTGAAAGCATTTGAATTGTAACATACTGATATATTTATTCAAGGTTTGCTAATACGTTTTTTAGCCAATTTTTCTTATTTTGCAAAAATAAAAGCAATCTTATGAGATCACCATGCTCTCTGTGTGTCGGTGTATCAACTTTTGAATGCCAGAACAAAAGACACAACACAACACAACAAACGTGGTTTTACAATCAATCAGTACTCAGATGGAATTTTATTTTCTGTCGCTACATATTTCGATCCTCATGGGACCATCGTAAGGCAGCATTATGATCGTACAGCGAAACTTTTACTGAACTCCTAAATATGGATCCATATTTAGTGCAAGACGTCCATATTATAAAGTTATGCCTGAGTTAGAATGTAAGAATTACAGTATTGTGTGTATCCTGTAAAGGAATTCCTTACACATGTCCGTAACGCGTAGCTTGTATACAGTCAACACATCTCAGGATAAAACCGCTTGGCAGGAATATCTGCATGCCATGTTCATACCTGACTCAGAGTGTGCAGGTATAAGAAGTCTTAAAAAGAGTACTTTATACACGAAGCTTGGTGGCTCCATAATGTTGAGATCATCTGAGAGGAAATGTTATTACTGCTAGTGGGGTGGGACTAAGTCCCTTGTACTGCGGCCACTTCTGGCCTATTGTACCAGCCCCAGATGATAGGTGAGAGTGATTGTGGAGCAATTGGTGGAATGAAGATCGGCAGGGGAAACCGAAGTACTCGGAGAAAACCTGGCCCAGCGCCACTTTGTCCACCACAAATCCCACTTGGACCAGACCCGGGATCGAACCCGGGCCGCCACGGTGGGAAGCCAGCGACTAACCGCGAAGGGAAATGTTAGAAACGTATTGTAACCGTGATGAAATTGCCTAATATCAAGGAATGGCATAGCGCAGGGGTTCTTGGCGCACTTGCTGGCCACCGAGTTGTGAATGGCAGTTTATTCAACTTCAAGGCAGTGTATTTAAAATTCTGTTGTCTTGCTGCCTGTCACATGTACGCTTTTTTTTAGGTTAATATCATTCGTTATTTACTTAAAATTTGCGTGGTAACTGTGTTCTTTTATTCCCAATGATAACGTTACAAAAATATGCATGGGTTGGACAAAATAATGGAAACACTACNAAGAAAAGTGTACAGTATTTGTAGTGAAAAAAGCAGTCTTTTGGGATTTGGCACCGTGTATAAATGGTGTTAACCGACGTTTCGGAGGAACGTATCGCCTCCATCTTCAGGGTAGAAGAAAATATAAGAATTCTCTGCTTTTACCGGTTCTCACGGTCTCTTCGCTTGTAGAATTCTTATATTTTCTTCTACCCTGAAGATGGAGGCGATACGTTCCTCCGAAACGTCGGTTAACACCATTTATACACGGTGCCAAATCCCAAAAGACTGCTTTTTTCACTACAAATACTGTACACTTTTCTTTATTAATATGGTATTGGGTCACCTTTTTCCTCTCATACAGGCGCAGTCCTCCTTGGAATGAATTTGCACAAGTTTTGAACAGTCTCTAGCGGACTTTTATACCATTATTCCCAAAGAACATCATCAAGTTGCTTTAGAGGTGTTGGAGGTGGGAATCTCTTCCTCACTGTAGTCTTCCAAAACTTACCGGAGTGGTTCAATGATGTTCAGATGTGGTGATTGTGCTGGCCAGGGAAGATGTTGAAGTTCACCATCATGCCCTTCAAACCATGACTGAACAGTTCCAGCTGTGTGAATAGGGCATTGTCGTCTTGGCACACCGCATTTGTTTGCAAATCCCGCCTGTATCATGGGATGCAACTGATTACTCAAACCCGCCACGTACTCGTCAATGAAGGGCGATAATGGGACCAACAGAATACTGTACCACCATATTGCTTCCCAAATCATCACAGAACCTCCCCCCTGTTTCACTGCTGGAACCGGGCATTCCATGGGTGTTCTCCGAACGTAAACAGCGTGAAGGACCACTCGTCTGATCATATCGCGCATGCGTTTCCAGTTGTCTGATGTCCAAGTTTTATGGTCATGACACCATCGTTTACACATTTAAGCATTGCTTTCAGTAATCAGAAATTTAGCAGTTGCAGCCCTACAGTGGATGTTGATTATATGAAGCTGACGTCCGCAAGTTTTTGTGGAAACAGGGTCTTCAAGATGGATGTTCAGTCCTCCTGTCACCTGTACTGCAGTATTTGTGTGATATTTCGAAACAGCCCTTCCCAGTGTACGACGATCTCTTTCTGTTAGTGTTGATTTTCGCCCACCTTTTCTCTTCGCTGATGTTGTCTTCCAGTGATTCGTGTATGCCGACATAACCTTAGAACCTGTCGCTATCGATACACTTGATGATGTGGCAGTTTTTGTCACAGATGCTCCAGCTAAACGCCCACCGACATCTGTTCTCTTTCAAAATCGGACAGCTCCCCCATTTTCCGATTATTTAACAGGGACTGACATGTATTTATATCGGTACAAAGTGGCCACAGTTCCGGAACACTGAGAGGACGTACATTTGTGAACTGCATTGTAGAGTTACGGTGTAGTGAAACTAGTCTGTACAAAGCATTTCGTGACTCGATTCTAGCGTACGCTTTCTCGAGTGGTCCGGCTTTTATTTGCATAAAAGGAAATAACCAAACAGATTTCTGTTTACATGCGCACCCTTGCAGCCTTCCTCGTGCTACTCAGGTCTGCCGCGTAAAACGAAGAATCACGTGATGTTGGAAGTGATATAATCGAAATGTAAATATTACTCAGCGAGGACATGTCATTGTTTTGTACGTGACCTCTTATTTGCCCCTTTTCATGCTTAATTTGCATTGTGTGGGAATTCTACTGCGCAGTGACACGCAGATGTTTGAGTATGAGGCCACATATTGCTCCGAGTTTGTTCTGCTGTTTTGTGATTCCAAAATAACTATGTTTTGTAAAACACCGTTTCAAGAAAACTGTCTTGTCCGCATAACATTAAATCTGACTGTAAAAGGATGGTGAAAGGGGTATTGAAAGATGTTTTTGAAGCTGGTATGGTCATCAAATCGCCTGTTCCCTGAAATACGAAAAGTAATGAATGAAAGACACGAATTTTACCAGTTGTCGTCACCATGAATCGAACCACTGCGTATGTGGCAATCACAGCAAATTAAGAAATAAAACGCAATTACAATTTATTGCTTTTCAGGCACAAATCTACGGTGGTTAGGTTTTCCGCAATTGGAGACTTAGCGCAGTTATTGAATGACCGAGCAGACTGATGTAGCGATAACGCTCTGGGATTTTTTTTTTGGGGGGGGGGTGCTCAGTTGGAATCTGGGCCGTGGCACCGGCTATCCTGACTGAGGTTTTCGTGGTTTTGCTCAGTCTCACCATGTAAATTCCAGGATAGTGCCGCTATCACACCACGGCCGTTTGCTTCCAATTTCTTACATGTTGATTATTAATCGACCATTCGACGCTGTATAATTTGGATATTGATTGCGTCGCAAGATAGCACACAGACAACTGTTGAATGCAGTGTTTTGTTATTTCAGGTCGGATGGCACCGGATCACACATGTTGGAGAAACACGAGGAGTTTAGTCCGGCAGATAAATCCAAAGAAATGGTGAAATATGGAGAGCTTGTTGTCCTGGGGTGAGTATCGTTTTCTCAGACCAGGTCATTTGATAGTGATATTAACAAGGGATTCGTCGAGAAATAAATGAATAATACAGGATTTTTAATGCCAGTATTATAAGGCAGATTCTCAGAAATGGATAGTCCCGCTGTTTGTTCCACGGAATACTTGTCTTCATAAGGTTACGCAAGAATCTTCTTTCGACGTTATTTGTCTTGATGAAAGTAGGCTGGGTCAGTCTCATATATATCTGGTCTGTGAGAGTCTCGTGTACCAGCTCTGTCCTTCAGTGGTCAGAGTTCCTGGCTACAGCTCCAGAGGTCCCGGGTTCGATTCCCGGCGCTACCATATTTTTTTCTGAGAAGTAGTGGGTCTGGAACAGTGCCCACTCAGCCTCGTGAGGATAATTGAGGAGCTATTTGAAGGAAATAGCGGCTCCGGTCTAGAAAACCGAAATTAACGGCCGTGGGGATCCGTTGCGCTGACCACGCGACACCCTCTATCCGCAAAAGTTGGCATTAAACTTCGCCAACAAGCAGCGGTCACTCGGCCGGTATAGTTCACTTGCGGACTAAAATGATGGAGTTTGTTTTTTTGTTTGTGAGTCTCTCATTAGTATAGCGTTTCCTTATGATTATATGATATAAAACATTCAAAATACAAGAAATAGGCCGTGGCCCCGGGTTTGAGCACGGGTCAGGTCATGTGGGATTTTTGGAGGACATAGTGGCAGTGGCAGTGGCAGTGGCAGTGGCAGTTACTAATCATCAGGGTCCGGATTTTGATGACCTGAAAATATTTAAAAAATTACCTATTGAATGACTGAAAAAATCCAGAAAATGACCTAAAATATGACCCAAAAATGTAATATGCAGAGCCCGGATTTTGATGACCTGAAAATATAAAAAAAATGACCGAAAAAAATCCAGAAAAATGACCTAAAGGAGAAAGGAAAGAACACTTCGCTTCCATGTTATTCACATTTCAGAAAACATGAAGAAAAATTCCCTAAAATGGCCAAAAATTACAAGAAATACCCTTAAAAGTCCAAAAATTTACCCAAAATTACCTATAAAATTTACATTTTTGTAACCAGCAGCTCATATCCGAGATTTATATATTTAAGAGCATCGTATAGGATACAGGGAAAAAAAGATGACATGTCATCAAAATCCGGGCCCTGCAAATCAGTAAGCCGCCGGTCACGGTAGCCGAGCGGTCTAAGACATGTACTGTCTTCGCTCACTTGGAAACCGGGATCGTGGGTTCGAATTCCACTCAGGGCATGGATGTTTAGTTTGTGTGTGTGCGTTTTACTGTGTTTGTGTAAAGGTAGAGGCCTTGCGACGAGCTGATCACCCGCCCAAGGAGTCCTACCGAATGTGTAAGATCTAGAAAAGCCGAAGTGAACGGAGAAGTTCATGGAGATAGGCCTAGGCCCACTGGGGTTGTAGAGCCATGGGGGGGGGAAGAAATCATTAAGCCAGGGTTCGTTTGATACTCTTTTAAATGCCAGCTTTTCACACTTTCGTATGTTTCCTTGGGGTCGATGGATATTTTACATCCACTGCACTCAGGAACATCGCACACAGACGTATCCCTTGGAGATACCGCCCTTTGTTTTTTATGAAGCGTTTTATCCATCACGGCTTGGGCCTTTCGCTATTTGGCGTGTTCATATTTCAAACGTTGCAATAAGCACAATTTACGAATTTACATCGAAGTGTTTGTAACGCTGTGTAGTATTGAACGAAACACAGGATTAGAACCCAGAAGACTGCAGTATGTGAAGTACTGTAGCTGAACCACTTAACTTTCTTTCACCCATCCCTTCATGGTTATTTGGGTTAGTATAGAAAGGGATGGGCACCAATTGGAGATGTACTTCCATAAATGTAATTAAGGGTAGTTAAACGAATCCCATTAGATGGACTAGGGAGCCGGATAACATGAGAATCTTAAGGCGATTGCAGCCAAAACTACCAGGATAAGTGGTAACTAACTTCATGCAGCTGAGCCCTTCTTGAGAAGCCGCCAGTTGTGCAACTACTCAAAATCTTCCCAGCATTTTATAGAACCCGAAGGTTCATCACCGTGTTCACAAGAGCTCTCCATTGGTCCCTATCCTAAGCCAGATCGATCCCGTAGTTGGTTGAGGCACTATGCTACAAGTCGGAAGGTCGCGGGTTCAAGTCCCGATGAGGTAATTGGATTTTTTTTTCAGTTGATGTAATCCTTCCAGCCACACTATGGCCCTGGGATCGACTTAGCCTCTAACAGAAATGAGTAGCAGGAATACTCTTGGAATGTTCTTGGGGGTAAAGGGCGGCCTGCGCGTAAGGCTGACAACCTTACTGCCATTTTGAGCAGATTGTCTAGAAAAATGTGGGGACCTCAAGGTCACAACCCTATGGGCCTTCACGGCATGTTACAGGGATACCTTTACTTTATTATCATCCCATCCCATCCCATCATTTCTCCTTAAGATCCATTGTAATATTGTCCACCCACATATGCCTTGGCCTTCCATTTGTGCCACATGTCCTGCCCATCTCATCCTACTTGACTTGATCATTCTAATTATATTTGGTGAAGAGTACAAGTTATGAAGCTCCTCCTTATGCAGTTTTCTCAAATCTCCCATCGCTTCATCTCTCTTTGGTCCAAATATTCTCCTCAGCACCCTGCTCAAACACCCTCATTCTGTGTTCTGCCCTTAATGTCAGAGACCAAGTTTCATACCCATAGAGAACCACAGGCAAAATTATAGCACTCATTCATGCAAAATTTTAGATTCTCGGAGCTGTGGTTAAGAAGAGGTGTATCTCCTGGGATGTGATGCCGTTTAGTAGCAGTCCTTCTTGCAGCGTGTTTCATGCTAGTGTCTTGTTTGGCCCATTCTTATATCCTGATGATGATGGCGACATTTTCCTACGAAACATCAGTTGATATTTAACAGACTACACAAATTTATATCCCAGAAGATAGAACTTTACAGTACTCTTTAATTTAGAGCGACGATACTCAATCTCCTTATGTTTCGCATACCCTCAAACGAAACAAATGTCGGTGCCCCATGAAAAGGGCTTTTAAAGTTCGCAACTTAATTTTTAATGCTCATATAATTTGAATGTATTACGATCGCATGTATATTTGTTGTACAAGCTTGTTCGTAGTTGATTTAACGATAAAAATAATACCAGCAGATAACCATTCTCACTGAGTGTGCAGAAAACGAGGACGTATGGTACCATTTGCAAACTGCTTTGGTACCTTCATTGTGCTGACTTGAATGTTCCAGTTACAATGGATTCCTGCCTCCTGGTGACCGTGGTCGAAGGAGGAGCAAGTATGTGCTGTACAGGAGATCATCAGCCAATGGAGTAAAGCGGTCAAAACACTATGTTGTTGAGAGACCACACTCCTCCCAGGTACGTTTGACTAAGTACCTGGTCTGTGATCGAATTCAGACAGACTCTAACTTTGAGTCGAGGCCATTTCAAACTTCTGTATGTGTTCAATAGATTATCTGGTAATTATCACTGTTTCAACCTGCCATCAACTTTTTGTCCTGTACGCAGACAAAGCTGGTGTAGAAAACCGAGATTAATGGCCATGGGGGATCCATTCCACTGACCACGTGGCACCTTCTCTTTGCAAAGTTGGCACTAACTTTGCTGACCAGCTGCAGTTGCTCAGTCAGTATAGTTCACTTGTGGACTACAGGCCACAGCGTTTTCTTTTTATGCAGCCATGGAAGATCAGAATATTTCAATTAAAATCATCTTGCCTTTACGGATGATTGCTTCTAACACTGTTTGTTGATATAGCATTAAATCCAGTGACCAGCTGAGCTACCACAGGCCACAGTTGGTTATGAATACACATACTCGTATGTTGGTGTATGTCTTAAAACACCGGTTTTCATTCAACACATGAAGTGAGTGGGGCATGCGGTAGCATAGTTGGTTGAGGCACTATGCTACAAGCCGGAAGGTCATGGGTTCAAGTCCCGATGAGGTCATTTGATTTTTTCCAGTTGACCTAATCCTTGCAGCCGCACTATGGCCCTGGGGTCTACTCACCCTGTAACAGAAATGAGTACCAAGAATATTCTTAAAATGTTCTTGGGGTTAAAGGGTGGCCGGTGCGTAGGGCTGACGGCCTTGCCACCATCTATGAGTCGATTGTCTAGAAAATGTGGGAACCTCAACATCTCACTACCCTATGGACCTCCACGGCCTGTTACAGAGATACCTTCAAGTAAAGTAAAGCAAAGTAAAGGGATACCTATACTTTTTTCTTTTGCTTTACATGAAGTGAGTACTCGTATATGTCATGGTGGGAAACAGATACAGTCAGTAAATGTGGTGGAACTGATGAAATACAGTAAACCCTCACTTGAATGGAGTAATGCGGTGGAAGAGGTCATTTACATTAAGTGATAATTCAGTTTGCTGAAGCAGAAGGTACCCTGAAAGACAAAGAAAAGCTTAGAATGCAAATAAATGGAAAATTATATGATATAAGTAGTGCTGAAGAAAAGAAATAACAAAAATATCACTGTAGAGCCTAAACTATAAAAGGATAATACATTTATTCATCAATAGAAGACTTGGAAGTTGTCTTGTTTTTTAATGTAATAATGCAGGTCTGAAGAAACTATCAAGTTTTGGATCAACAGACAACAGCCTTCCTAAATGCCATATGTCTTAAAACAGTGGTGCTCAACCTTTGTGAGACTGCAGCCTGGGTAATTTTTTTTTAATAAGATGAGGGCCTGATACTGGGCTGCGGCCTGGCAGTCGAGAAACACTTTTAAAGTATGTAATCAACTGTGAACAAAATGTTCCCATTTTTCGAATCTGATTAACTGTAACTGGGTTAGTGAGGGTTTGCTGTCCTTTATATGTAGGAGCACGCACGCTCTGCAATGATATTTTCATCTTCACTACTTCCATCATTAAATTTTCCATTTATTTGTGTTATAAGTTTTTTTTTTTTTTTGGTTATTTAGGGCTGTCTCTTGCTTCACTAATCTGGATTATTGCTTAATCCAGATGACCTCTCCTCCCAGTACTCCAGATTAACAAGGGTTTATTGTATTAACATGAATCATGTCACAGCAGTAATTTGCAGGATGAAGTTTTGACTCCCACTGTCATTTAAATACCCACCTGAACAGGTAGGCTGGACCTAACTCATGTTATATGTAGGTATTTATAGGCCTGTACCTTTGTGATTTGTTTTGTTAAAAATTCCAAACTTCATTGCCCGTAAAGCGTTTGACGTCACTCATTCATATTAGTGCTGCCTGTGCAGTTTTCAACTTGAAGTTTTATATGAAATTGTAGGCATATTTATAAGCTCTCATAGCTTAATAACATTTCCACCTACAGGGTAAGTAACTCACGAATCATTCAGTTATTCCAGTCTCTGTTAAGCCTGAAGAACTGAAGTGTATGCTGCAGTATGAAAATATTTTCTTGTGGGACCGAGAACAGATGCAGCTCTTGTTAGAGGAGAAAATATGAAGTAATTTAGCCAATGTGTTTTGAGGGTGATGGAGATTGACTACTTCTGATTTCATACCAAGGTTAATTTAAGATTCCAGGCCTGTGGATGGGATAATTGTGACATCCCTGGATGCTGTTGTGATACAGTAGAGTGAAATGTGTATATACTTTGTATTTTACACAATTTTACAAATACATCAGCAGCGATTAGTTTTTTATATATGTAATTCGAAACAGTGCAGGTCCTGAACTTCAAGCATACCCAGCACAGTAAACAGGACTGATTTCTCACTGATGAATGGAATTGAAATTTTTTTGTGCTACAAAACCGTGAATTTATCTCATGGTTTGAAAGGTTGCTTCTGCTACAGTTTTACCATTCTTGTCAGCACTGTTTATTTCTCCTGTTGTAACTGTAGTGAAGCAATAAATAATTAATTAGGTTATCTGTCTGTTTCCAGGCGATACATGACACTGGACAACATTCTATCTCCTATACATTGTCTGGAGATCAAACTGTCATTGTTGAGTACGCGCCCGATGAAGAGACGGACATGTTTCAGGCAAGGCTTGATCCTTTGCAAACCCCATGATGCAGAAAACTGTGATGTTGCCATACTGAGAAACTGCAGTAGTACAGTAACATATCTAAAATCTTATTTCTGGGTGGAGAGGTAGTTGAAAGTCAAGTAATAGAAATAATGTTATTACATAGGTTTAGGAACGCTGTTATAGTGATTTCAGGAGATAAGAGTCATCATTGCAGTTTATCAGATAGCAGTTAAAAGAAGAACGACTTATGTTTGTGTGCTCATCTCAGGTGTAACTCGGTGAAATATTTATGGGAGTGAAAATTGTTTCAAACATAAAATGTAGATGCCCATTTTTTGCAAGGTGAATTTTTGCTGAAAACTTGCGGTTTTCAAGACTGGAAGAATTTTTAGGCTGTTTAAGGGCAATAACAAAGCCAGCATGCCAGAATTCTTATGTTATGCCCAGATTTGTTAACTTACATGTATTTATTGTAAACATTGTGTTCTTTTGAAATTGTGATTTATTCTACCCGGTTTTTACACTGACATCTTACTCATTTTCAGAGATTATTTAGTGTTGAAGAATGGGAGAAAGTTCATGAATGGTGAATGTGAACATAGATAGGAGAAAACTGTAATAACCTTTTTTGAAATACTGTTCCTTATCTTTGGTCTCATAACCACAGTGGCTTTTCCCCGGACATAAAGATGGCTGGAGTGTGAAGATAATATCTGTTACTATCTAGTCCTGAGGTCAAAAAGTAACAGGGCTTTACATTTACAGCCTCTTTACTACTCTGTTGTGCTCTTTGTATGAGGTAATGCCATTGTTTATCCCATTTTCATGAAAACACCGCCTGCTGACAATGGAATCCATGTTATGTGGCACACACGCTTGACATGTCATTATTTTTGCTTTGTTTTCATCCTTGCAGATCGGTCGTTCATCGGAGTTTCCCATTGACTTTGTTGTGATGGACACGATTCCAGAAGACAAGAGGGGCAAGAGCAAGGTGCTGCGGAGCACAGTATCACGGTTTGCATGTCGTATCCTCTGTGACCGCACACATCCGAGAGTAGCAAAGATCTATGCGGCTGGTTTCGACTCTTCACGCAACATATTCCTTGGGGTGAGTGCAAGTTCTTACTTTGCTGCTTGACATGTTTGCAGTTGAAGGGTTAGGTGTAAAGAGGAGTAACTTCATTTTTATTAATTCGTAGAAACATAATAAATTATGCAGATTTGTATTGTAACTGCATTCACACGTGAATGATTAACTTCACAGTAAGCCCTTGCTAATCTGGACTAATGGAGGAAGAGGTCATTTGGATTAAGCTATAATCTTGATTAATGAAGCAAAAGATAGCCCTAAAAGACAAAGGAAAATCTTAGAAAACAAATAAACAGAAAATTTAATAACATAGGTAGTGCTGATGAAAAGTACAAAAATATATCACTGCAGAAATTTCTTCCTCTGTTAGAAGCTGAAATGAAAGCTACACATAATTCCTAATCAGATATGTTTATACAAATGCTGTTAAACGCATAGTAATGTTCATCTCTGACATTTATTATGCTTACAAGTATATTGTGACTGCATGCTGAGGTGTGAAGAAGCAGCACGGTTTTCGAGGGGTCAGATTCACGGTTATTGTCAGGGAAACTGTAGGCAGCCCAATTATAAAGTTCTTTGTGTCGCTATGTTGTGTTATACCAGTTGAAATGTCTGTGACAGGGAACTGTGAGCGTTCCTGTAGTGCCCTCTGGTTGTGAAACCCTGGGAACAGTAGTGCAGTTGAGAACCGCTGGGCTTTCCATGGTTTCTTAACCACTTAATATTTCAGTACATACTTAAATAACTTGTCAGTATTCAACTTTGGAGCTGGTATCTGCGGTACCTGCAGGGGTGTATTTATACCAAGCACCCAGATGTTTGACTTCTTGTCTAGTTTGTGGAGGGCCTGCCAATCTAACTTTCATGTTGTCCTCCCTGCATTAAGGGCCTACTCTGAAACTGTAACATGAAGCTATCTATGTCCATCGTTATGCCTTGAAAGTTGCTTCTCAGTCTCCTCAGTCTTCTGGGTGTATTGCTGAAGAGAAAACCCACTGCCCTGCGGAATGTTGATCTGTGTGTGTAGGGTCCCTAGGATGCTGTGTGTGCAGGCGTGCACGCATGTGCATTATGTTATGGTTACAGTGAATGCTGATCGAAAAAGTTTGGAGGGAGAGGTGTGCCTGTTGTGATTTTAGTTTGCATAAGTTATGTCCAGAGTGTGAAACAGTGATTCTATTTTTCAAAATTGTCTACAATAATAAGTAATTTAAGAACATGGGGAATTATGAGTCAGTTCTAGAGGTTTCTGACGATGGTGTATAACACTCAGGAATACTGGGTTTTTGGACTTTGCTCATTGTCTGGTATTCTAAATAACACAACATTTCAGAAACTTGACATTTTGGTCCAGTGACTGAGGTTAGCTCTATCTGACAGACCTGATGGAATATGTATCTCCCATCCCTTTGCCAGAGGGCATAAACATATCCAGTTTTCGAAATGTGGTTTAAGAATGCTGGTTGATAAATGATTTAAAGAATTCAGTAATCGCAGGAGGAAGTTCTTTGTGAATAGATTCTTCATTTGATTTGTCTCATTCTGGTCCGTCACACTATTAATTACAGAGTGGGTAATGTTCAGTCTAATGTGACATACAAGTTCACAACACTTCAATCCTCGCTCACCTTAAATGTTTCGATTCAAAAGAATCATCCTCAGAGGCACACCACTATGATAAGGAAACACTGTCACATAAGATATTTTAATCAATATGCACTTAAGCTATGAATAATGCTCTCTATATACATTTTGTTATTATCACGATTGGTATTGTTGTTTGTCTTAGGCACTCACAGTGGTGTTTGATGTGTAGATTTACTTGTGATGACGTTTCTTTTAAGTGTAGTTGCTGGTTATTCTGACTGGGGTTTTCCACTGCACGCAATATGAAGTTCACTTTTCCATACAGTTGCCTCCCAATGCATTTAAAATTGTATTAAAATTTCATGTAAAAATTTAGTTACTATGTTAAAATATCATGAGTTGACATTGGGTCATGTTCTTTTCCTCCTGATGGTGGGAGATGTCGTTTATTTCTCTTGCTTTTATGTTCGTATTATTAGTAGTGTAGTTCACGTGCGTGCTGTGTCATTTGTGTTCATATCTTTTCCAACTGCAACCATATTCTAGTTTTTTCTGTTACAAAGTTTTGTAAGCTACTGCATGAGACCAGATTTTATAAGTCGCATAACACTAATGCCTCCCCTTCTACAGAACTAATTAATCCCCTCAAAATTATGATTGAAAAAACATCAGTGGAAGAGACTAATTGGGAGACGTCATGGTAATAACAGAGGATAATTTAGAAATGGAATGCACAGTGAAAATATTAAGTGTATATGAGAGTTTCCAGTGCAGAGATTTAGTGGATATATTAATGTGAATTTGGATTCCAGAATGGCCAGTAAAGAAGACTGGGAGAATTCTGGTGTGGAATTGCACTGTCTTACATCTCCGACTGAAAAGCTGTATATGTGTGCATGTTGTTTGCATAACGTTGAAATGTTCTTTATAGGAGAAAGCAGTGAAATGGCAGGAGAATGGAGAGATTGACGGCCTGACGACAAACGGTGTCCTCATCATGCACCCACAAGGCTCTTTCTGTGGCGGAGAAGCAAAATCTGGCCTGTGGCGCGAGGTATCTGTTGGAGGCGGTGTCTTCTCCATGCGACAGCTTGGCGAGGCCCACCAGAAAGGACATCTAGTGAGTGTTACCACTCTTCCCCGAAATCGAAAATGTGAACCCACGCGATTTTAATTGCCGTTATTTTCTTTAAGATTCATTCTAATATTGTTGTGCACCTACGTCCAGGTTCACCCAAGGGGTCTCTTTCCATCTTGTTTTCCCCACAAATTTTACACCTATTTTTTGCCTCTCACATGCATTCTACATACTCTGACCATATCACTTTTCACTTTATTTCTGCTTCCTGTTTCCTCTTCCTCAGGTTCGGATATTCTGCTCAGCACCCTATTGTAGAGGTAAAAAGGTAAATTTGTCCCTGTGCTTAACTATGTAAGCACTATGCCATGAAGATGTATGGAGGGGTGCATGTATAGATCCACGTTTTCTTGATCTTGGCACTAGTTGGAGGCAAAGGTTCAGCTTCACGCCGCTTTACCCCCAGGGACAGAGTCCCTGGTGCCCATTGGATAGGCTGGTTGGGTCCCAGAGCTGGTCTGGATGACAATAGAGAAGGGAAGATTCTAAACCCTACCGGGACTCGAACTCCAACCCCTCAGTCATCCAGCCTATAGCCAGTTGTTATACCAACAGCACTATATGAAACATCTGATCAATCTTACAGAGATTTTCCATGTTTTTCCTCAGTTCCTCCAGCCACATGTGGGAATAATACCTCATTCTTTATCTGAGAATCAGCCTATCGTTTTTGCTGTTGACAGCATCATTAAAAAAAATGCAAGTAAAATGAACTGTAGAAGTAAACACCGAGAAACATGTAAAGTTTACCGAAGCCTCTTATTTTTGATAGGCATAATAATTAAATTAATTTTTCCCCCATCTGAATTTATAGGTCTGCATTAAAATAGGTTTTTACTTTGGGGCATGTGGTAGCATAGTTGGTTGAGGCACTGTGCTACAAATCTGAAGGTCATGGGTTCAATACCCAATGAGATCACTGGATTTTTCAGTTGATGTAATGCTTCCAGCCACACTAGGACCCTGGTCAACTAAGCTTCTAACAGTACCTGGAACCTACCTGGGGGCGGTATTGAGGGGAAGGGGGTTAAATGGTGGCCAGCACATAAAACTGAAAACCTCATCGCCATATGTGAGCTGATTCTCTAGAAAATGTGGGAGCGTTGAAGTTTCACAACCCTATGGACCTCCACAGCCTGTTACAGGGGATAGCTTATTTCCTTTATGTTTAAGAGCATAAATACGTTTTGAGTGTCTGAATAAATGCTTAAAATACTTGAACATGAATTTTGTCATGTCATTTATAATTTCTTCTGTTGAACATGCATGTTAAATGCACAGTCTATATTTTTCCAGTCTTTTTATCAGTTACATTACGTTTTGATTGGTTTTTTGGATCCACCCAATATTATGTTAGGGTATTTCTCAGGGGATGAAGTTGGCAGTTCATGTCCCCTTACTGGGCGAAGATGTAAACTCTTTCCACCTGCCATAAGGTTCAGGGATGAATGAATGTCTTTGTAGGAGGTTCCACAAGCTTTTTTGCTGTAACAATATTATTATTATTGATTCCTGTTATGATTTTAATTCTATGTGCATACTGCATGAGTTGAAGACGGGTAGAATGTGTCAAGAGCCTGGAAACTCTTGAACAGTGAGTGTTTATGTGTGTTTCAGGTTGAAGGTGAAACAAATGTTCTTCAGGATGGTACACTCATACATCTTTGTGGCGCGACATTACTTTGGCGCTCAAATGAGGGGCTTCAGAAATCTCCTGTAAGTTAAATTATATCAGCCTATTCATACTAGAAATTAAGGGGATGGAAGTTTTGATTAATAAATTTGCTGTATCATGATAG